CTCCTAGTCCCACCTCCCGATGCACACCCTTCCCAAGGTGATCAAGCTGTCTGCTCTTAGTTGATCTGAAAGGCACCTTGTAAGGAAGGTTTGACTCCGGCAACTGATTGAATGGGCAGCTCTGACTTGTACAGGAACACAGAACTGCAGGTTACAAAATGGTGGCCAAACAGGCTGCCTAAGTCTAGCAACACCCTCGGCCCCCCCCACATTCCCCCCCCCCCCCCAACAGACACACACTTCTCCCTCCACTTCCACAGAGTAGGAAGGTCAAGGCTGGAACAACCCCTTACGCAGGCCTCCCTGGCTTTTACCTCAGGCTTGGCACTTAGATCTCTCAGTTCTCGATTCGTCTTGAATATAGTGAGATGAAAGGACTAGATTTCTTTAATGTGGTAATTTTTTTAAAGGGGTTTCTTTTTATTTTTTTTAAAGATTTATTCATTTATGCATACAGAACTGGGGTACAAGTCAGAGGTTCAGGGGCGGTGAGAGGATTCACCAGAGTCAGAGTGGGGAGCAGAACAGGCAGACTGATGAAGTGCACTGCTGAGGGGCACAGCAGGCGGTCAGGAGAGGTCTGCTGTGGCATGTGGTCAGGAGAGGTCTGCTGTGGCATGTGGTCACCCCCGGGGTGGGGGGGCGGGGATCCAACTCACACTGAAGCGGCTGCCGCCAGCCTGCAGTGCTGCATCCTAACCCGTTGCACCACCAGGGAGGGCCTAATGTGGTAATTTTAATTGTGCTAAAATACACATGGCATAAAATTTACCATTTAAGTCATTTTTTAGCAACAGGACCACACATGAGATTACTAGGTCGTCTGGTTACTCATTTTTAATTTTTTGAGAGACTGTCATCATACTGTTTTCCATGATAGCAGCACCTCTTTATATTTCTAGAGCAGGAGGTTTCAAAGAGTTCTTAGGTCTTTCTACAAAAATAAATGAAATTGTAGAACTCAATATTTTGTTTTAAATAATATCTTTAAGCCATTTTTCTCTTCACCATGGGAGAGTACTCAAATGTCTTTTTTCTTTTCCAGAAAGTCTTTTCTGATCTCTCTTTCTCTTGGATTGTGGGCCTTAGTTACCAGTGTCAAACCCTAATCATTTTTTAAATTAAGTGTTTCTTTTTTTTGAGGATATGAATTCCTGGAGGCAGAAACTTTGTCTTGCTTTTCTTTGTCTTCTGGGTGCTTGATATAGAATAATCTAACAGCCATTGTCTGTTGAAAGAATGTGTGGATGGGTTAGAACAAAACAGGCAATATTCCAAAGAGGAATTGAAGGTGTGATTAAAAATAGTAAGATGGTCTAGGAGCGGCCCATCTGGGATTTGTCACCACACCACACCCCAGCATCCACTCCCCTGCTCGCCTCCACTGTGTTCCTAAGCCAAACACCCCAAGTTAAAGTAAACAACTTTCACCTTTAAAAAAATAAAAAAGCAGCCCTCCCTGGTGGCGCAGCGAGTTAAAGCACAGCACTAAGAAGCTAAAGCCACTTCAGCATGAGTTCGATTCCCGCCTGCCCCGGAGGTGACCACATGGCCCGGCAGACCTCTCCTGACCCACCCGCTGCTCCCCTCAGCAGTGTGCTTCGTCGATCTGACTGTTCTGCTCCCCACTCTGTCTCTGGTGAATCCTCTCACCCTCCGCATCTCTGGCCTGTACACCTGTTCTATATGAATAAATAAATTTTAAATAAATAAATAAGCAGGATTTATCATCAGGCAACTACAGCTCTGAGACACTGTAGGGAAGAGCAGGGAGAAGGACCAGGACAGGGTGGGAAGAGCATCAGGGACTATAGCGATGGTGCATGGGTGATCTGGTGGTGGGAATTTCAGGGGGAAACCAGGCATTGCACAAAAATGAAGGATGATGCGATAAATATAAACGTCTTTAAAAAGCGGGGTTTATCTCCAAATTCTATTGATTTTATCAAGAGGTGTTTGAGAAGTTCTGGGTGCATAGTAAAAATTATGTCAGCAAAAAATAGTCAGACAGAGGGTCATTTTTCTCCTAATGAAAATATTTTCCCAGAGAAACTGAGACTCAAATGATAAGAAGAGAAGCATAACAATGAAAACCAGAGCAAGCTAAATGAAAGGCCCTGAACTCCCGCCAAGCCGCTGGGATTTATGGCCACAGACCATGCCATGGGTGTAAGGCCCGGGGCCAAGAGCCCTCCTTGCCGGCTGCATTAGCCCCTTGGGCAGCGGGGCACCAACCCAATGGGGGAGGGGGGTGTCGGGAGAGGGGCAGGAGTGGAAGCTGCGCTCTGGGTCTCTGAGCAGCTGGCCAGGGAGAAGGCGGTGGGCTGTGTGCTGGGCTGGGAGGGTGGGAGGGGCAGCACCAGCGGCCTGGGCTCCCACGGCTTCCACCTTCCCTCAGTCCTGGGGGCTCCACTACCCCGTGGTGCCTGTGGTAGCGGTCCAGGTGCCAAGTGAGCGCCAGTCTCTGAGCGACCCCGTGGGCTGAGGGAGCTAGGTGCTAGGGACCCGTGCTCTCTCAGGAGGTCACGAATGCGGAGGCCCCTGGCCTGAGGGAATAGGGTCCCCAGATCTTGGTGGCAGGAAGGGCGAGTGGACAAAGAGGCGACCCCCAACTTCCCTTGGAGGCACTGGGAGCACCCCGAATCCTGTCAGGGTCTGAGATGCATGGAAGCCCAGGGTGAAGCGAGCTTTGTCTCCAGGAAAGCTGGAGAAATCCACACATGGAAATTACCTTATCCGTTTCCATCACCTTAGCCTTTTACATGACCAAGCATGGAGACTTTGGTGGTGGTGGTGGGGGGGGATGGTCAAGAGTTCATTTCTGACATCTATTGATACCACCCCAAGGAGGTGACCTCAAGGCTCACTATCTCCTTCTGGATTTCATGGTGTCAGCTAAGTCCAAATTCTGATCCACAACTGCTCCCGCAACAAGATAACCCACAAATCTTTCCCCCAGAAGTCTTTCTTTTGTACATAGTTTTGTTTTGATGTTATGCATTTATCGAACTAATTTAGGGTGGTCTCTAAACCTCCAAACTAGATAGCAAATGTCTGTGTACACTCCTGAGGAGTCTAGATATATTTTCTCCGATTCCCCCAAAGATAAAATAGCTGAAATCACAGCTTTGTGAGGTCCATTAGCATGGCAAATGCTAATAATTTTCAGCTTAACTGAATTGCAGATTGATTGAAATTAATTTTTCCTTTTATTGAAGTAACTTTGCATTACAGCATTATAGAAGTTTCAGATTTGCCTTTTGGAGAACCAATATATGTATATACAACATTAAGTACACCACTCAACAGCCAATTCTCTCTCTTTTCCTTTATAACATTTCTCCAAACCGTTGGTGCTTGCTTCCTTTGTGTGATATCAAATTCAGATGAGATTTATATCTTTGGTTATGTTGAAACTCATCAAATCATTATTTCTAATGTATAAAATGATCCCATTCATTCTGGGTGGTCTATAACTTCTTCATGCATCAGAGCCACTGGTGTAGCAACATTCAGTCTGGAAGAAATAACCTCCCTCTATTTTGCTCACCCCCCAAGCACCCCCCCACCCCACTGGTTTTCTGTCCGCATTTTATTTTGGAAACTAATACCATTCTTTTGGTAAGGTTTCTGTTCAAGGCAATTGGCTAGTTATCATTAAATCTCAAGTTGAACTGTTTTCCAAAACAAGAAAGGGGTTGTTTCTACCTACAACCTTTTTCTGATATGATTTTTGTTTAAAATTACTTCAGGGCCCTCCCTGGTGGTGCACAGGTTGAAGCTGTCTGCAACACGAGTTCTACCCCTGTCTAGGGCGGTGACCCACATGACACAGCAGACCTCTCCTGACCTGCCCACTGCTCTCCCCTCAGCAGGGTGTTTCAGTCCATCTGCCTGTTCTGCTCCCCACTCTGTCTCTGGTGAATTCTCTCACCCCGCCACACCTCTGGCCTGGCCCAGTTCTGCATGCATAAATACATAAGTCTTAAAAAAATAAAATGACTTCATAACACAGCAGAGTTTTATTTGATAATGACAGAAATTGCAATCTTGCTCCTTTAAGAGTCAATAAAGAAGCAAAATAAAATAATAATAATAATAATAATAATAATAATAATAATGGAAGCATCACTAGACCTTCAGTTCCACCATTT